CGATCGTGGTGTCAGGGAATCATAGACACATCACACTTCACATTTAAAAAAAAAAAAAAAAAAAAAAAAACGGAATGCCATCTCTTTAACAACCATTGGTAACTACTTACTTATAATCAATAAAGATAAAAGTGCGCAATATTAATACATAGATTAATTGTATCGGCGGTATGTGTGTTTTATTGTACGACAGTCGGACAATTTCGTTCGCTGATGACGAGAAAGATCGGATAAGTGAAATACATTTCTAGACTTCTTTTGGGCTGGGCTTGAATCATTGCCCAATTTGATACAGTTTCCTTTTCCTTGCTACTGTGTATGACAAGAATCTGATAAACTTACCAGGGATGAACCGTGGCTGCTATCAGAAAAAGGAATATTAGGGCATCTGGTATTTTCTTTAACCAGATGAATATGGTTGCAAGTTTCAAATGAACCTGTCTAAAGTTTAGGGTAGAAGAGGCTTAATTATTGCATTACCTACTGTATTATTATCCCTCTAGTTACAATCAGAAAAGTACGGAATTGTTTTTAGAGGTTGTTTTTCTTGTTAGGAAATTCAAGAACATATTTTTTTTTTCCAAATATGTTGTCTCATAAGTTAGAAATCAGAACAACATGTTTATTATTCGCTATAAAAAATGAATATCTCTTAAATGTATGTCAGGTCAAATTTTAATATATAGTTTTATTGATTAAAATGGAAATTGTTCTTTAATTTCAACGTGAATACATTTTTCTTTTTTTTTTCCATTAATTACTTAACAACCATAAATCAAGAAAATCTAAAAGAAATAATCCAAGAAGTCAATTGGAAAGGTCACTGATGCAAACAGCTTCAATAATAAGGACTTCTTCTTTTCTTAGTACATGCATACTTTTAATATAAATAACTCTAGTTTTATATGGTTAATTTTTTACATAATTTAATTTTAGAGAAAATTTCAACTTTTTTTTAGATTTAAAATCCAAATATACCTTATTCTTAGCAATGATTTAATATAAAATGATACGTGACTATGGAAGTACTGATTTTTATTTTTTAAATTAAGTATTTGCATGCATGAACATCAGAAAAGGATAAAAAAAAAAAAAACAATGGAATTTATTTTATGAGTACTTTGATTTGCTGAGCTATTTTTTTTTTAAATTTAATCTCGTAATTCGTTGACACTACAGTAAATTATAGCTGACTTTAAGTAAGAATTTTAACATTCGTAGGGTTATACCAGGGAACATAAATGATGAAATTAAGTTTCTCTCACTGATTACATATATGTCCAGAAAGCATCAGAATCTAAATTATGTATGATATGTTCCTGATAATGAAATTGTATTCCTTATTTACTTGTACAAGGAAAAATTAGCAGAGAATTTCACATTTACAGAAAAGGCAGCTTAAAGTGCTGAGAGTACTCATCCTTACCTATATTCTCTAATAAATGACACGATTGTCATTCAAAAAATCAATTGACCTGTTCATCTTTAAAATGATGGAATCCTTGGAGAGAATGAACAATATACACTGTTCTAATTATTGTTTCAATATGAGGGAGTTCTATTTTCAAGATTAACTGACTGCTAAATAGCCATTTCCGTAGATCAAGAGACTTAGGTAACGTCACACACTTTGTAAAGTTTTTAACCGAAAGAAGACTTTGCTAAATTAATGATCGCTTGGGCAGGTATAAATTAGCTTACTTAGCTATAAATATCTCGGGAACTACAGCATCTTTTTTACACAGGGCTTCTAAAATAAGCCTTAAGTTCCTTGTTATTATTGCAAATTCAACACATGTATTTCTATGGCGTATTTAAAAAAACACTCAAAGCCTGTATGTTTTTTGAAGTCCCTAGGAACTTTAAAAAACATATGAGAGAACAACAATCAATAAACATAAAATACTTGAAAAAAAAAAGATGTTTATTATAATTTCAGTCAAAATTAAGGAAATTTCCGGTAAAGAACGAAAGAAGTTTTTTATGAAAACATTTGAGAAATAGGCACAGTAAGGCTAAAACGTGCACTAAATCATTGTCTTGTTGAAATTTTTACTTAGAAAGATTGCAAAACGTACATCTTTATTTAAGTTTATGATTTATTTTTCGTTTCTTCCGTTTAGATCTTTTGGAGTGCATCGTAATGTAAAGGTTTTCCTAGTTCTCCAAGTTCTTGATATTCTACAATGACTTTTTCAGTAGAATTTTCGTATGTGTTATCTGGTTTACACTGTGCAGGATTAAACAGTTCTTCCATCCTTTGCGTACAGTTTCTTCTCTTTCGTAACCTGTAAAAATAATTATTATTTATTGAATTTAAAGGAAGAGGCTCAGGTGTTCTTACGGTCATATGAGTACTATGGGTATTTCTTCGCCAATTTAACCATACCTCTAACTGAAAAGTCGTACTACATGAGCCATTGGCAGTTTAAAAAAAAATGGTTTGAGCTCCCTGCATAGTGAAAATTGTTTAAGATCATAAAGAAGAGTACAGTAATCAAAAATATCAAAAGTCTCATTGCTTTACCCAAGGACTGACTACTTTTTAAGATACGCTCTATAAAAAATATCATACGTCCGACTAAGCCCATCTCTGGGAACTGTATTCTGGACTGAATGGACATTTCTTTTAGATCCAAATGTAAGTTGAAAGCTACCAGTTTAGTATAATAACTGAAGTAATAAGGAATGAGGTTATTTTTTAAGGCAGCAACAAGATTAGTTTTACTGATATTTTTGAAACACTCGTTTTTATCATCCTCTTCGTATTGTGTGGTACAGAATATTGAAAAAAATCAAATATATCCAGTTATATAGAAATCGTTCGTAGGGCTTGAAAACTAACACTGTCTTTCAGATCAAGGAAGGATAGCGAATCTACTCTGTTAGGAGAAAACTGAAATTGATCTAGTTTCTTTAGCCTACAACTGCATTAATAAGCTAACTTTTTTTCGTTTTCAATATTTCGTCCCACATAAAACGAAGTAGACAGAATCAAAGCCAACAATGATAAGAATATATAAAGAATGCTGGGCCATATTTAAACAGGAAAAATTTACAGTTACAACACTTAAAAATAACAATGCATCAAAGTAAAATACCTGTAACAAGTTATTAAAATTTATCAAAAGGTACACTGCATTTCAATTATTGTCCCAATCTTAAATCAACTTAACTTCCATATCATAAAGATGTAAAAAAAAAAAAAAAAATCATAGTTCACAATGCACTTTTCGACGTGAAGTCTTTATTGTTTTATGTGGAGTGGGAGGCGGAACAAGTAATTTTTTTCACAGTGAAAGATACATTTTATAATTAAAAAAAAATATTGAAAGATTTTACATAGAGCAGCAATTCCAATTTAAACCCTGTATTGAATGCCATTAAATCTTATTATTATTCATGGAAGTTATTAAATTATTGTTCTCCTTGCTCTTGTTTGCTGGGTTGGCAATTTTTCATCGGGGTGAGTTATCAAATCGCTTTTTAAGGGCAAACACCTAATAGTTCATGATCATTTTTAAATATAATGAAATAATGAAAATATTTCTTAACTTTTAAATTGTTGATGTTTTCTTCAAATCGAGAGCATTACACGTAGTTCATAAATATATTAAAACAAAAAACAAGAAAAAAAAAAAAACTTGTAAAGACCATTCATATTTGAAATCCGAATATGTCTAAATTTGTGACATGTAACCGTCATTCGGTGAAGTCTCTGAATGAGTGAACAAATTCACAAAAGGTACGTTAAACAATATTCATTGAATGAATGAATCATTAAAACAATGGTGCGCATTATTTACATTTTTACGTGACTCAAATCAGGTTTTTAACCTAAACGCAAAGCAGAATGGAATAAACTATCTTATTTCAATTCATATTACAGAATATTTTGTAATGATGTTATTATCAAACTGCTTTAGGAAAAAAATCTTTTAAAGATTGTCTTTTATGTAACACACCTCTGCAATATACTTTCTGATTCAAAAGGAATCATACGGAACATTAGCAAACGAAAAGATGTAAACAAATATGTGCATATTCGTCTTTTTCATAGGCTGAAAAGAAATGTGAACACGTTTAAGAGCAGCTCCTAGCTCATTATATTCATTAACCATTCATCAATAGCCTAATGCACTGGATATAAAATTTTCTATTAAAAGGATCTATGTTTCCAAAATGTATAGGAAGCCTTCTTTAATCCTGAAACTAGGTAATAAATACGGCACGTTCGTTAAGGAGCTTATTCCTCGGTACCATCATCAAATATAAGACATATACCTCCTATTTGTCCAGGGAGAAACATGGGACTATTTTCAAAAATATGACGAACTCAACCCTAATACGGGGACGTGTTTCTGAAAAAAAAGAGGTGTTCTAATTTAATATATTTTGTAAAGAATTTATATAATATTTAAATGGTTCTCACTAATTGATATCTAGAACTGGGGAAAAGAACAATAAAGATTATATTTATTTTGATTGATACTGCCACACCCTCAGATTAAAAGGTAGAATTCATAAAATGTCCATTTATACCAGGGAAAACTTTAAAATAAAAACGATCAAAACACGTAAAATGTCACAAAGCGACGACTGAAAACAGAAAGCAATAGCCAACCTGAGTTACTCAGGTGACCTAAAATAGAGTAATTATGGTGAAATGCACCAGAAAATCAAAATCTAACCAAACTGTTTTACTCTAGAAGATAATGCTAATTTTTTCCTACCGTTTCAGAAAGACATAAGCGATGATGAAAACATTAGCTGTGAATAAGACAAAGAATGTCCCTAATGTGCCATAGAATCTGGACTGCCAGACAGATTCTTCCTCTGTTTGAACTGCAATGTCAATTCATTAATCTTGTTTCAAAGATTGTAGTGCAAGCAATTAGTGGTTGATAAAGATCGGTATTGAAATTTCATTAAATTAACATAAACATTCATATTTGTTAACATTTAAAAAATTCGAAAAAAAAAATCCTTTGACTTCGCTGTTAAAGTTCGAAGGAAATAAGCACTGTGTCTGCTGTCAGAAGCAATTTACCCTTATCACAACGAATTCCCTCCCAGCCTTGTAAACATCCTCTTTGACATTCTCCCGTGGTCCCGTAACATCTTCTGGGTTCCACACAATTGACGCTGCAATTTTCACTACAGTTATTTCCATATTTTCCGATTAAACACCCTGGAAATTAAAGTTGTTTGATCGTGCTGTAACGTGTGAACAAGGGCTTTGCATCAGACTAGTTACATGTATATCGGTATGTGTTTTGATATGATACAGTATGAAATGCTACCTGTCGTACAGAACTCTCCTATAAAACCAGCGTCACAACCCTCAAGACAGGAACCATTGATATGATGGCATTGTTTATATCCCAGACAGGTTCCACATCTATCTGCACACTTCTGTCCATATCTGCCATCGTTGCATTCTTTGATTTAAATAAGAGTAACAAAATATTTCAGAGAAGGTTATAACAAGCATTGTACCAAAAACAGATGCATTCTTTTTTCTATTATTGTTTTTAAATAACGTAGCAAAAACGTTCAGTCAAAAGGGATCAAGAACAATAAATTTACTTGTAGGTATAACCTTTTCCCTTCACGTGAAAAGATCATATGAATAGTACATGTAAAATATATAGCATACCATAGCAAATATACATAATATATTATTAGAATATTTGTATAAGTAAAAGAGGTTTACAGTATTATAGAACAAAGAAACTTTGATATCTACGGAGAATAAAATTAATGTATTACTCAGTAACTACCACAAACAGATGTCCTCGTTTAATTACTATGTTTGAGGTACCCGCCTCCTGTAAATAAGGGTATTGTAATTTTTCAAAATATCTTCTTCCACTTTGAATTTAAATTGCATTGTAAGAAAATATACAATTTGTTACTGAAGAGATCGTCCTTGTCATTGCAAATGAACGTTAAATCTACATTTTTTTCTTCATTTTGAAATCTTTTGTTGTCATTTATATGATATTCATTAAGAAGTATGTAGTAATGTTTCTGCGTAAAAGAAAAAAAAATCAAAATGTCACGAAGGCTACGTCAGCGGGTTCCATATAGCCCGTAACTACGAAAACCCAGAAGGCTCATTAAAGATTCAATTTCGGAATACGAGATTCGAAATTCGAGTTTCGAGATTCAAGATCCAAACTAACCAATCAAAAGGCTGTTTAAGATTCAATTACTCCCCTTTGCAAAGTTTTGACCTTCTAGAAATCGTTGAATATATTTAACCGAAGAAGTCATTTGATTATATTACAATGCAAGAAAGAGAAGAGTGTTATATATATATCAGAACGAAATTAGAAAAAAAAATATTGGGTTTTGGTCTTCAAAATATATTTCAGATTGTATTATAACTTCTTAAATATTATAATAGATTTGTATCAATCATTAACCTGCTTTAAAATCATATTGTTCGCTTTGAAAGGCTTTTTTCTTGTCAAATAAATCCTTTCAGACGTCTCTGGTCGAGCCTCTTTATTGTAAACCACTCATTTATTCTTCGAAAATTACCTCGATAAATATTAAGACTTTAGATGGGATACAACTTCCGGTTGGAGGTAGGATAAAACCAGAGACTTCCGAGCTTTCCATTCCGAGGTCTCTGGCTTTATCCTTCATTTATAACCCAAACCGTAAATAAGATTTATTATCATATTCACTGAAAAAATGACAATGATAGATGTCTCCAAGATCGCAGAAAGTGGTCCTGCGACACCCCCCCCCCCCTCTATTGAGAGGGGGCGACTCCCTCCTGGCCTTTCCGGAATTCGGCAATGATGCGCTTTAGGTGAAATCTGTGACTTCACATTAGCCTACACATTAGCAGAAGGGAATATACACCACTGTTTCCCAATAGGAAAAATACATAAAAAATAAATTTTCAATTACTTATCTTGGTTTAAGGCTTTGGAGATTTGAATTAATTAAAAATTATATATACAATACAGACTGGAATTTATTTTATTCCATATCAAATAGTAGATCAGTCTAACTGCACAAATGTACCCTTAAATGTAATGAGATGTATCCTTAATTAAATATATTGTGTAGTGTAAAGACAATCGTTAGTATTTCATATCAATGTGCTTATCAATGTGCTTATTATATAATTTACCAACCTACTAATTTGGCAATTAAAAGATAAGATCATATAATATTCTATATTCTATATATGTATCTATTGTTTTGTTTAATGAGGAAAATAACATTATATATATATATATATATATATATATATATATATATATATATATATATATATATATATATATATATATATATATATATATATATATATATATATATACATTCAAAACGTTACCCAAAATTCATTTTTATTTTGTTTTGATACATGTAACATTTTTCTTGCATTATTATTTAAACAAATGACCCATTTGTTATAAATATATTCAGTGATTTCTTGATAGTAAAAACTTAATAAAGGGGAGTAATCAAATATTGAATCCGCCTTTTGATTGGTTAGTTTTGATCTTGAATCTCGAAACTCGAGTTTCGAATCTCGTATTTCGAAACTCGTATCTCGTATGAGCCTTCTGGGCTTTCGTACGTAACAAACCTAAGACGATAAAAAAAGAGAGAGTAAATATTTCTTTGCAAATCGCTTAGCACTTTAAGGTGAAAGTTGAAGGTCTTTAGGATGTCAATTTTTGATCTAAGCTTGAAGCCCTTCACCGGTATACGTTGATGTCTCATATGAGTGAATAATCTAGAATGGGACGTAAAACTACAAAACTCAAACGGGTATCTTCACGTATATCAATACCACAAAGATTACAAGCTACGTATATGTAAAGCATGGTGTCATGGCATCACTCAAGAAACAATTCTTCACATAATTTATTTTCATTTAAATTTCTTTACAGGTTTTTGTTTTTCCGTGATAAATGTTAAAGAATCTGTCTCGTACAAAGTTATATCAATTAATTAGACAATAGTATTTAAAATGCAAAGTCCTTCGTTTAAAACAAGGCGAAGTTAAAGTCATAATTCATACCTTCACTGCATTGAAGCCCCTTCCATCCTGACTGGCATCCCCCATCACATTCTCCTGTCGCCCTGTTGCATCTATGGGGTACACCACATTTGTCACTGCAATAACTTTCACAGTTATATCCGAACTTTCCCACAGAACATCCTGAATAATATTGACAATAATGTTTTGATGAGCGGGTCCTAAATTTGATTTAATTATATTAGTTATAATGTACAAAAAATGAGATATTTATTCAAAGCTATAATTACAATGACGTGTTGCTATGGAAAAACTTACCTAATTCACAAAGATTTCCAACATATCCAGCGTCACAACCCTCAAGGCATGAACCATTGCTGTGATGACATTGTTTATAATCGAGACAGGCTCCACATCTATCTGCACAATCCTGTCCATATGTGCCGCCATTGCATTCTATCAAAATATCATTTCTTACATAAAAAGAAATCGGAATAAAAGATTTTTTTTTAACTGTAATATTTTGGTACAAATTCAGATGCTGTTCGATAGGTAAAAATTAACATTATGTCAAATTATCTCGGAAATACATGACATATAAAAGATATGTACAGATCGATTTTTTGGAAAATGTGATACGTAAATTAAATGTTGTCTTTTTTAAGACGCGGAGAGAGATATATTTTTCACACGTTAATAGTTTTTGAAAAAATTACATTTAGGTGATATGATAGTTAGATATTTTACCAAATTTGCATTGATATCCCTGATACCCTGGTTCACACCACTGACATTCTCCTGTTTCTATATGGCAATAACGACAATTGACAGGACAGGGGAGGGAACAAGTAGATCCATAGTAGCCAGAAATACAACCTTGGAATGAAAAAAAGAATATAATAATTTTGAAAGAAAAGTGTTTTTGTGTGTGAATGTGTTAAAATGCTAGATGATAACAACAATTAAATTATATGACAAACAAGATGACTTCAGCTTGTCCATCATGAACTTTCCTTATCTATATAATAATATTCCGCTTTTATGGTGTTTATTCTCCAACTTAATCACTACTCAAGAGCACGATCTGAATACGATCAAGTTTTAAACCGAGGAAGCACTTCGCACATAGTTAATGTTACCAGGATTTCAGCAACTTCGTTTTAAGGCAGGATTTCGTAGATCTTTTGTCGTTATAATCAACTTGTTAGTAAATATAACCAATCACTAAGGCGTATTTTGGCTGACTTGTTTCATATCAAATGTAAGGTCTTTGTTTTAATACAGGATTATAGAATTACCCTTCTTCTTGAAATTAATCAAAGGGCTTACGGTTGGGGTGGACTGTAAACAGGGAATGTCCTCTCCTCCCAAGCACCTGATCCCACCTTAGATTTTCTGGTACTCTAGTAATGTGCGAGAGTTGTCCGTTAAGTTCGTGGACCACCTTGATATTAACTGACAATCATTGATAAAATATATGAAATTATTACTTTCATTAAATTCATGTTTCATTTCATTAATATGCAAGTTTTCATCACAAACAAAGCACAAATAGTTATATTTTTATCAGGTACAAAAAAGGCCCACTCATACCCGGAGCACCAAATTGAAAATCCTTAAGGTTAGTCGACTTCAAAAGCTAAATACATTTAACCTTTCTCAACGTAGTCACCGTTTAAGTCAACACATTTCTTATGACGCTTTAACCAGCAGTAAAAATGTGCACAAACTGTTCTGGTTCCATACATGAAATAATATTCAACACTTCCTGTCTCAGATCCTGCAAATTATCAAACCTCTGTCCGCGTAAAAACGACTTTATGTATGGAAATACGTCAAAGTCCATACGCGCTAAATCCGGGCTGACTGGACTGTTGTTTTGTTTCAGGATCATAGTAGTGGAACCAGCTTTCGTCGGTTGAAATAATTCTGCCCTAAAACCTTGCACCGCCTTTTTTATGAACGGTCTTGACAATTCTACTCTCTTCGCCAAATTTTCAATTGTCAAAATTATAGGCACCCATCGAGCACAGATACGACTCATATTAAGATCATGAGATAAAATCTCATGTAACGAAGTCTTTGAAATTCCACATCTTCCTGCAATTTCTCAAACTGTTAGTCGCCGATCACTGTCAATCACGTCATGAATTTTATTTCTTACAGCACTGCAATCTCGGAAAGATTGCCTTTCTTCACGCATGTCAAAGTGTGAACTGTCCAATCCGTCTGAAAATCTTCTCTGTCACTTAAACAGTAACGAACGGCTTACTTTACTATGTTTCCCCGACTGTTTTAGGAATTTATGGGTCTCTGTTGGTGTTTTTCCGATGTTTACACACGATTTTTTCATTGTTTTCTGCTCCACCTTTTCCGAAAATGTCCCTTTTTTTCGAACAATGACGATCCTGTCTTAATAGATTCTAACCTCGATTTATCTGCCATTTCGAAACATTGAACATTCAAATTTTGTAGGTTTGACGCTAAAACGTTTGTCAACGTCATAATGCGAATGTCATCCAAACTTTCGCGGAGTTTTACAAAATACAAATGAAATGTATAGAGTGAAACAACTTTTTAATTAAGACTTTGCTGTCGGGGTCACCATCCTAAGTCTAATAATGAAGACATAATTGTAATTATACATTTAAAATTGAATGGAATTTTACTTTCTATAATTCACATATAGCAAAGGATTTTAAATGTGGTAATAATAAATATTTATGACACAACTTTTATTTAAATTTTAGCTTGTCCGCGAACTCTACGGACAACCCTCGTATTTATGCCCTGTTCACGGATTTAATTTTTTTTTTTTTATTATTATTATTATTAATATTATTATTATTATTATTTTGATGAAACACTGTTTGTTAGTTTCCCCTTTTCATTAAAGGTATTTATTTTGCCTCGAACTGGAATTGGTTTTTCGATAAAGACAAGCGTTATTTTAAAATAGTTGTTTTCAAATTACTGTTACAGTAATATAAAAGATAGAACATATTATGTTATAGTAACCTAGAAATATATAAGGATATTGAATCTTAAAGAAGCCTCATCTTAAGTGGCATTTTCAATCAGATATATTTTTTGTATACACTTATTTACAAACCAAATAATTAACACCATTGTCTATTATAGAATTAATCTCTGAAACATAACTTCGTAAGAGACGCAATGACTTTGTGGGAAAAGACAAATAGATTTTACATCTTAATAATGAAAGAGTTAACTAACAACATACCAAGGACCTCCACCTCACAAAGATCATTATATGCGTTGCTGGAATATTCCCCGGGATAACTAACACCTGATAGTCTCTCATTATAGTAGATGACGTATTGTCCATGCACAGGGCATGTTATATTGACGACTGCAGGTATAGTTGATCTGGTATAATTTGTGTCATGGAAACACAAGTGACCATTTGACCTCTCTGTTGTGTTCGATATATAAACATAAAATCCTAAAAATCTTGATGTGTGGAGATTTGATGCGTCTAGAATTTAGAATTTTAAATTAACATATACAAATTAATTCCAAGGTAAACTCTAACTCAAAATTGATTCATTTAACATTTGATTATATTCATACTCAAAGAAGCAGCTTTTTCCTTAAAAACTTCTTACTTGAAGAAAAAAGCGCGGGCGGATAACATTGCTTGTTATTCAAATATTATGTCTATTTTTTTTCTCGTACACAAATAATTCATTAACCTTTCTGAAAGTTTCTAATATAAGAATACTCTAACATGATTTATTAAAAGTTTGTCTTTGAATTACAAATGCATTAATAAGATTCAATTACATATTTTAGAAATATGAGGCTTTCTTCTGAAACATTTTGAAGAATTCAGTCAAAGATAATCTTACCCCACACATTGTTATCGGTCCTGTAATAAATCCAAATTTCACCAATGCTGTAAATTGATGTCAGGTTTACCCACCAGGTGGCGCTCCTTTGGCCTGCTGATATTGCACATTGTCCTCCACCAGGGCTTAAGTTAGTCTTCAGGCCATCCACTGCATTACTGGAGGAGTAGTAGGTCGATGAACTAATCTGTTGTGATTGCCATGTTGGATTATTCAAAGCCACATTCACTAAAATTATTATTTTAAACTTTGGTTTATCAGCTTGTTAGAGCAAAGAAATCTGTGAAACGTATCCAAGAAAATCATTTTCAGAGAAATTAAAAAAGAAATCGAGGCAGTTTCTAAAATACAGTAATTTAGATTCAACAAGTACACACAAAATATATTTTAGAATACTTAGAAAGTCGCTATATAATGTACTGTATGGAACGTTACAAAGAGAAGCAACGTTTGTCTTACCTATCACAATATTCCTTGTACAGTAATATGTGAAAACTAAATTATATAAAATTTCATCAAGTTCAAAACTTTTTTTAACTTTAAAACATTCTCTAAAAGTCAATTCACTGTTCAATAACTACTGATGCTCAAATTCAGAAATTAACATATTTAAGATAAAATGTAGTCAAGTAACTAGAATTAAACATAATAAACTTTTGAATCGTGAAGGCACTTAAGTCTAACCAAAATATGAACGGCAGGAATGATTTCATGATCTCCATCTCAATTGTACACGAATATGCCAATGACTGCTTGTACTTACTTTTATTTTATCTTATTATTTTTTCTTTTATTTTGTGATTGAGGCTATTTCATATAATTTCACATAAAATTTTACCTTTTCGCCTCCACTATTATATCTGGAATAAATTTCTTCCGCCAGTCTAGAATGGACTTTACCATATTTCAAATATTATTACAATGCACCCTTTTACGGAGATTATTCTCTTATCTTCTTAATGTCAAACGAACTTTAAAGTTATTTTTGACAAAGAATCTGGGGGGATAAGACGAGCCATGTGCCCATGCCCATTTTTCGGCTATGCAAGAACATTTATTGGAAAAAATCTCTCAATTGTTCGAATTTACTTCAGCATTTTAATGTTTACCGTAGTTTTCAAAATGATATTTATATTCTAAACAAGCTAAACAGTTGACTTTCATTTACTGTCACAAATGTCTAACATGGGTAAGGACTTCTATTTAATTAATCTGCATATTGAGTGTTAACACTTATTGTGGAGATATTATAAAAATGTTAACATCGTTTATAATGATAATGGTGATCTAGAAGAGCTTTTATTTAAAATGAATAAAAACGGGAATAAAAGTATTCAAATATCTATTATAATTCTTATCCGGCATATTAAATAATTTACTGTAAATAAGTTCATTACTACATGTATATATTTTATTTTCAGTGAAAAATATGTTATTCCTAAAGACATTTTTTATAAAGTAAAACAAAATTAAAACCAAAAAAAAAAAAAAAAAAAAATCAAAAAATCAGAGTATGACTCGAACACTTTCCTCAATAAACGTCCCTTTAAAGAGCTCCTCGCTAACCACTAGACCACGGAGTCGCACTTACATGTCTATTTAAATAGCATACAGTTCTCTATATTTAGCAAGCGTTTTTGGACTTAGAATTTTTTAAAACCACGGTGAAAATCTAAGTAAGTTAACTTAATTTTTTATGTAGAGTGGGTCTTCATACCAAATTTTTGCAAATGTAAAAAGCAACATCTTTCCATTGCCTTTCATTTATCGTTCTCAAAAAAATGGTACGATGACCCACTCTATTTAAAAAATGTAGTTATATCATCCAATTTATGTCAGTTTCTGTGAAAATTGAGCGTGATGCCATTTTGTTCTGTTAATCAGAATCATTTTCGCTGTTACAGTATTCAGGTTTTGTCAAATTTGTATGCAAATGGTAATAAGCATTACATTAATTCAACAAAAAGTGAAATTTTTGTAAAATGAATTTATTGATTTTTTATCGATCGTTATGTAGGCATATGGCTCGGCTTATCCCCCCAGTTTCTTTGAATCCTTGTATCACGAACCTATTCTTTTTCCTTTGCTTGTAGTAGTGCATTTAAATCTTGATACACTAAGGGGGAGTATCTTCCAATATCAGGAAGTTTTTGTACAGAAACAGAACAAATCTGTACAATAACTTCTAACCAAATCACAGGAAGTCCCAGCTCCTTTTAAATAAAGGGAAACAATTTCAAGAAACCTTTTTATCACTGCTTGTAGCAAAGTTTTTTAGCCTCCAAATGGTTTCATACATTTCAATTCATTAATAGTCTTCATTCTTAAAAATTGAAAGAAATATTACAATTAAGAAAATAATGTCCATTAGTTATGTCGGACAAACTTTCAGAAGTATAGAAACGAGGCATTTTCAGCTGCATTTAGGCCAATTCACCCTTCTAAGTCTTACTGGCGCGTCCCATGAAATCCACGTATATTTCAGAGCTGTCCTCCCCAACAACAAACTGGCTACACTCAAGTTCGTTATGCTCGTCATGTCCCATTAAACCTAAGAGTTTACAGTTATAGTAGAACATGGCATGTTGTTCTTCCACATCCTTTCTTCAACTCAGCTTGTTGAATCGCCTTTCAAAACCCGCGCTTCAGAGGGTTTTGCGTTTTGATCGGAAATATCAGCTACTGGGTCCACTGTTTCTAGCTTGAAAGAACCAAACTCGGTTCCAGTTGCATTGCCCATATATTCGGCACCATTCAAATTCAGAATTCACACAGACCCTCGGATGTGGCGTTTTCTTCTTCAATTTCATCACGTACCTGCGAAATTCAATATCCTCTTTGATAGCTCCGCATATGTTAGAAAAGTCTTAATCACCTAAAATCACCGGAGTTAAAAGTCAACAAATCTTCTAATACGTCCATCCTCTTCAACTCTATCTACGTAAATGACAAAACGCGCAGCAATGTTGGCAGAATATGACGAGGAATTAGCGAAATGGCCCGAAAGTTAAAAGAACCAATAAAATACCGACTGCAGAGGCGAAAAAATATAAAAGAATTGATCAAATTCTGAAGATACTTTTGCGGACTGTGTTACGGAAAACCACGATGTTTTGGCGACCTGCCTTACTTTCGCGGGCTGTGTTATGGAAAACCCCAATATTTTTTGGGAATTGTGTTAAATGATATATTCACATGCTGTTTTATGGAAATTTTTGGCAACAATATTTCGAGCTTTCTGTTTGATTCGTCGATACAAATCGGTTAAATTACATTTATCTCGTGAAGTATGGAGGGGGGCGGACACTCCTTTGCTTCTCAAAATCCATGATATATCCATGATACACTAGAAAAAAATGTACCTTAAGGGCATACGCAACGTACCTTACCTACTGATAATTTTTCAAGATATTCTTAATTTACGATTATAGTGCCATCAGCTGTTCGTCGACAAAAATTCAGCATGCTTTACCAGGGGTTTTGAATAGATATCAATTGATGAAAATTCTTGTATAATTCAAAGAAAAAATACACAAAAATTACTAAACACATATTTTAGATGTTTTGTTTATCCAAACTTGTTTTAGAAGAAGTGTACAACAGCATATATAGACATACAGATGTAGTACACAATTCCTTTAATTATTGGAACTCTTCAACTCCAGTGAAAAAGACAATAAAGTTCAAACTACATTGCGTATGTCCTTAACTATAACTTACCACATTAATAGGTTGAATTATATTCTTACAATATCATAGGTTTTATAGGTTTTCCTGATGTAGTTGAATGTGAAACATTACATTTACCTCATTTAGTTACAGTCTATCCTTTTGGCCAAGACTTGAACAAACATAAATCTTACAAAGAATATGCATTTATATCCACATGACAATTGATTCTTAGATGTTCTCTCAAAGGAATAAAAAGGTTCTTAATTAAAATAATGGGTCATATTATTGATTATTATTTATTCTATAGGTAGACATGTGATAATGCTTTTCATCATGGTTTATGTACAAGTGTATGCTACGTCTCATGAAAAATTTTATATAACTTTCACTGACAAAATGCACTAATGAAAACTTTGAAACTGAAAATGATATAAGTCTAACAAAGATACATAAATGTTATTACGAAGGACCCATGGACCACATCGCTCACCTGAACACATTGGTTGGAAAGAAGCAGAAATCAGTTAAGTATTGAACGGTAGGTTGGGGTAAACTATAGTTTTCACTACCTCAGGATGATTCCATATCAATATTACTTATCTTGGCTTTCCTGTTCTTAAATCGAAGAATTTTAAAGATTTTTTTCTTTCTCACCGTTCACTATAGCTCAGTCGGTAGAGCGCTCGCTCCGTAATCGGGAGGTCGTGAGTTCGAATCTCGGCCGCGACTGACCTAAGTCGATGAAAAAATGGGTAGCAACTGTTCCTTCGCCATGCGCTCGGCACTTTGAAGTGAAAGTTGCGGCCCCGTCCTACTAACCCTAAATTTGAAAAAAAAAAAAAATGAATCTACACTACTTGAGGATGATTCTGTAATAATATGACTTATCATGGCTTTGCCGTTCCTGAACTAAATATTTTTTTTCAAGATGATTGCTAAATATTCTTATGCAAAAATAAGACCCTCTGTTGCCCCCCCCCCCTAAAAAATTAATTCTACTATACCATAAGTTGCCTCTGTATAAATATGACTAATAATGGCTTTGTTGTTTTTGAGAAGAAGATTTTTAAAGATATTTCCTATGTAAGATGTATGATAAGGTTCTTACAAGTGATATATAGGTTTTCTTTTTACTCGATCTGAGTTAATGATTAGAATGATTATTAAGACACCTCTGTTTGAGGGTATATAACACAGTACTTAAATTTTCTCTTATCTAGAGTGAGTAAGGTACCACTAGCACCGTGTGTCTAGATTCCCATTGATAGATAAGAACCGGGTGTCTCAATCTTATTCAGGTTTACTACACCTAGAACTGAACATCAATCCCTTAGAATATTTGCCACTGGTGTTTATAGCTTTTGCACTTTTATTTCTTTCTTTCCCTTAAGGTTTTCCATCCCCAATAGGACCAAATTCTCTGTCCTCGAATGTCTATCACGTACATGATACTCTGATATTAATTTAAAGCACTACTTAGTAGAAAAGAACTTACCAAGAGAAAGTTTCAAAAATGCAATAAACTTAGCAGTAACTATTTAACAAAGAATGCATTAAAGTCTATGGTGACAAGCAAGTTCTTTTAAAAATAAA